CGATAAAATATTTAACGTTCTAAAAGAGTTTCATCCACGAAAGATTCCAGTATCGAAACTCGATGAAAAATGTATACAGCGCAATATAAAGATATTATTGTAACAATTAGCGTTAATCTGACAATACAGCAAGTAAGAGATCTGCGCAAGTGATCTGCAAGTTGCACGATAACTATTTTTAAAGGAATAATTATATACATAGATGCTTCTCAAGCCACTAATATTCTTGTATGAAATGAATGTTGCACGTTACTTATCTTTACAATTTCAATGCAAATTGCGCGCTACAGCCTGCGTGACTAATTTAATATGCCATGCTACCTTATTATCGCACGTATAACAGAATAGAAGGCTTTAAATTTTCATACTACAAACATTGCATTCGCAAATTTTCGAATGTACACCCGACCGTAATGTACTAGAATTATATTAATAAAATAATAATCTTATTCGTATAAAACGCATCGCACTTACATTATATTTTACGTTTAATGATGTTCCATTATATCAAGCAAATTTCATTCTTCTTCATTGTTTTTGATGTAAAAGGTATTAAATTATACAATCACATAATACAGAATATATGATACAATATGTATTCTGTAAACGTTAATATTAATAAAAGTAAACAATAATTAAAATATATGAAAGGGTATAATAAATTATGGTAAACAAAATCGTGCTAGAAAGGATAAACATAGATAAAAAGCCGAATATACCGATATTAATTTGAGTCACGATAATTTCAATAAAGTAGCATTAATTTCTTTTTAATTTTAAACAAGAAGATTAATAAGTATCGATACGCGACGGAGATTTATTATTATTACTAACCCTTCCGAGGGCAAAAGCACATTTGAAGAGACGCTTTTTCGTACAGGGATGAAGAACGAGATCCGTTAACAGATTGCTTTTTCCGTCCGACGGCAAGCGAACGAGAGAATAATTTTCATGCGAGAGTGACGAAGGAGAAAGAGAGGGCTGGAAGTGCGGGAAACGCAAACGGTCTCGGGAACCACGGAGGACCTTCCACGAGGAGAGGGAGCTTAAAGGAGATAGCCGGGTAAGGATCCTGATGTAGGACAGTCGGGTTGAAACATCGCCCGACGGCCGCGGCGTTATCCCCGCGCACCATCTCGCGCGCTCTCGCGACAATCTTTCCGCACTTCGCGAGAGGACCCATTCCTCAACCTATATGGAAATACGATCGTGCGGCACGTCGCGAATCGCCGCGATATCAAAGAGACGAATCGAATCGATTGCTCCTTTTTTTGTGTAATCAGCACAAAAACGATTCAATCACGCTTCGCGCGACTTCGCCTTTGCGGATTTATTCTCATAAAAAGTGCGAAATGAGCTTAGCTGTATCTAAAGAACAACAGCTATCAAATGTACAAATTGAATATCGTCGAAACAGGATTATTAAGGTTTTAATGACTTTCTTTTTCTTATTACTAAACTTACTTTTCTTATAAGATGCGATTCGTATTTTGCGAGTTTAGTAATTTTAGTCGAAAAATAACAAGATGTTGAAAACATACGAGGCAAAAAAATGTTAATGAGCCTTATATGTGAATAGAACATTTAACTATTGTACCTTCCTAAATACCATTTAAGAAATTATCATTAGCTTTTGAACGGTTCATTCATACAAGTTCTTTAAATCCTTCTAGTCTATAAAAAGAATGACTTGAATACCTCAGCTATAAATATTAAGAATTAAGAGTGTGAATGAAGATAAAAGACATTTTGTAGAAGATTTAATAAATTACGTCTTACTTTTTGCGCGCATTCTGATTTTCCATCACGCATATTCAGAAAAAGATATTTCGTCTCGACAGTCGAGACGAAATATTTCATTCTCGCGTCATATATCATACACAGCGCAAAGATTACAATATAAGAGTGATTCACTGTGAGCTTTTACCATTCGTCATTCTCGCTACCGTCATATTTTTTAACATGTCGTATTCATAAAGTCACTTGTAACACAACGCATTTACGAAGTACTAAAATCCGCGTTCACGAGACGTTAGCTCGTATTATGGCGTTACTATAGATGCTACTAACCAGGTCCAAGTGATTCTGTCAAGAACTCTGGGATCTGTTACGGTTTACGGTTTAGGAAAGATCATAGCTTAACCCTTTCAAGGCTCTCGTGACCTACCTAATATCACCACGTTATTCTTCGAAATGTTTAACATTTTAAGGAGATTATCCGTAAGATTATCCGTCCCAAAAATAAATACTTTACATCCGGCTTTGTAGGTAGCTACAAGAAAAACTCGTAAGAAAATCAAATTATATACAACGCTGGAAAATCACAACGTTGGAGCAACACAAAACGAGATTTAGAATAGATTTAGAAAGTTAGAAAATAGCGCGGTTAAAAATCGTGACGCATATATCGAAGATACGTTGAATTGATCGACGAACAGTTCGTGCAGTTTCCTTATTTTTATATTTTGACCAGCATAAAAATCGTGCATAGAGAAAACGAATATTTTCTCCTATAAATAGTGAAAAAAACCGTCGACTTAAATGAATTAAGATTTATGGACATCCACGACAAAAAGATTCTAAGAGAGAAAGAAAAATTTCCCGCAGTGGGCACGGCGCAAAGGGGTCCCGTTCGAACTTCTGTTATTTTCGTTTTGGCCGCTGCACGACACGACAATGCTCTTAAATTCACCGCCTTGGACTGCGGAGACAACGCCGTTATACACTCGGAAACTTTCACGGAAAAAAAGACCGAGATGTGCCGTTAGAATTAGTCCGGTTATTGTCAGGTCTCGATTGAAAACATTGCGAATCGAGCCAGGATGTCGCCTTTAGTTCGAGATTTGCAATCTCATCGACGGAAAGCCCGCGGAATGTCATTGACTGCGACATTAAAGCGGAAGAATCGATTATTGCCGGTTTTGATAGCATGAAAAGTGTTTCGTGTACATGTAAAAATTTAAAGATTATTCGACATCACTCTGATTCTATTGTAAATCTGTTTGTGAATCGTTGCTATATTAAACACCGGTTTAGTTCTGATTTGAAGAAATCAATCAAGAGCCGCGAGATTCCGTCGCTCGCACAGTCCCGATAATAAATTCACTCGAATAAATTTCAAAAGTATTAAACAATAATCCACTAATTTTGTGGCCAGTAAATTGTGTGTACAAATGGAAAGATCGGCTTCATATTTATCAAAGAGCCTGTCGCGAGCAGGTACTGCGATAATGACAGGTTGTATACGAGACATTAGCGTTTGTCACACGGCACTAAATTTCAGCGCGGAACTTTAAATTGGGTCCGAAAACTTGATTTCCACATTTTTTTTCCCCCTACGAGCCTACATATGCACCGAGTGACACACGCGCAGATGTGTTTCGTGTGATCGAGAGCTTCTGTGTTTTACGATCGCGCGCGATTTTATTTCCTTTTTTGCGGCGTGGGATCACTTTCGCGTTTCACTGGCATTGTGCGAGCTCGGAGCGACAGACTGCGCGTGACAGGCGCCACGGCATAAACATCGATCTGCGAATATTACCGTGAAGCATTATTCGCGAAATGACTCTCGCGGTGCTCGCAGCTACTCGCTAGGTGAACCAGAAACTTCAACCATTTGCTATCAAATCGCCGAGCACGACGGCGGACTGTTAACTTTCGCGTTTCTCACGGCAATTGAGAATCATTTTTTTTCTCTCTCTCTCTCTTTACAGGAAATAAAAATAACACGGATCTATAAACACGACTTTTATTTGATGAGCGATAGAAAGTGATAGCATCAAATATTGGGATGTTTTCATCCTTGAAAAGAGATAGTGCTCTCTAAATTTTTTATTAGAATTCTTTGTGATATTTGACTTGTGCAAGTCTTCTAGTAAGTCCCAATACTTCGCTATTAGTCATCAAATATATTATTTATAGACACAAATCGAAATAACATATCGCGTGATTATAAAAATGTAATTAATAGATATATTACAATAACAATTATGACAAGAATGCTTTTTCCAAAGATGTTACATTTGGAGTAAAATCTTTCTTTACTCCAAAGTAAAATACCGGGAAAGATATTACGCATTTTTAACACAATCATATTTAAATTCATTATAAAGCGCTCCCTTTCATTACATAGCGTATATTACCGTGTAAAAAATTTAAAATATTTTCAACTTTTAATGACGTTTTTTCACGTAGAAACAAAACATTATTAAAGTGAAAATTTTTCAATATTGTGTCAAGACACAATGGAGACCGCTTAAAAAGTAATTATCTCTTTTCCAGCATATTTCTATTCTTATATCGAGTTATCATAAGATATCGATGTCGATAATATGATTTCATCATCGGTCAAAGCAATGACATGTTTCATAACACTTCACATAGTTATATTGACAATGAGACAAACACGTCAAAGATCTTAACAACTTTTATCAAGCGAAACTTTGTCTAACGCGCCGACAGATTCAAAATTGTGTCAATTTCCACGAAAGAATAGCGTAAACAATTTCTTTTCATAAAAAAAGTTGAAATCATAATACTGATAAATTTATTCATTCTTTTTACATATCAATCTTTAAATAATGTATCTACGTGCCTGACTAACTTATTTTCCATAGAAAAAAAAGTTGAAATCATAATACTGGTAAATTTATTCATTAATTCTTTTACATATCCATCTTAATAATGTATCTACGTGCCTTACTAACTTATTTTCTACAGATCCCGTATAAAAACGCAAAATGTTTCGTGAAACATAATATTCTGAAAATCTCTAACTTGTACCAAAAAAAATATGTAATCAAATTTTACGATAAATTTACGAGCTTAGGAGGTAGAACGAGAAATAAGTATCGCCCATTAGCAACGCCCAAAAACGTCACAAAGTGCTATCTAATCTCTCGAATGCTTTTCAAACATTTCCTAGACTTTTGTGTTTTCAGGCTTCGTTTCTCCGATTGCGTCGGTCCGCCGAATTTTTATGAGTCATAAAGAAAACTCACCACTCAGAAATATCGACCACGAAGATGTCCCCGAGCCTGTGCCGAGTTTGATGAGCGTCGGTCTCGAGGAACGGTGTGATCCTCTCCGTCGGTTATACACACCCGCGTCGTTAAGAACTCCCTATCACCCGCCGCCCCGGCGATCACACACTTCCGCCACTGTCACTCACTCACTTTACGAACTCCTCGATTACGCCCTTCTACAATTGAAGCCGATAACTCTCCCGACAGCGAGTATCGGTTGATAGACAACCACTCGCGCCTCTCTCGATCTGTTTATCTGCGCGTCACTCTCTCGTCTCCTTGTTGACGTCCGTCGTCACGACGCTACGAAAGTTGCGCGCACCGATTTTGCGCGATCAAGCAGATATCACACCATCCACTGATTGCGATCGATAGGTTCCATCGGGCCGACGCTCGCGCAAGAGAAATACGAAACTCCGTTTCTCATGAACGGGCGACAGAGAGAGAGATAGAGAGAGAGAAAGAGAGAGATGTACGTCCGTCGCGATCGGAGCTGAGATTTTGTCAAAGGATAACACCGTGGGTCTCGTCGTTCTTCCGAGATCGAACGATTACTCACGAAGAAAACTGTATTATCACTATCTCGCCGACTCTCGTCCGTCGAATTAGATGATCTCGAAGCTTCAATCGACTTCCTTTTGCTCCTTTTCCTTCTCTTCCTCTCGCAAACGGGGAAAAACACGCACTCCGTTACAACGCCGCACACAGGCCAACCGCGCGCCACGGCACCCGCCTGTGAACTGAACGCCGCCGCGACCTGAAGCCGGGACCCGACTGGTTCCTCGGCCTAGGGGAGTCCCCACCGCTTTCTCCTACTGCTCTCTCCCACCGCTCTCTCTCTCTCTCTCTCTCTCTCTTCCCCCCCCTCCCTAACCCCCGTTACGAGAACACCCACGTTCGTTGTCGCGCGCGCGACCCTACGCGCGCACCATCCCCCGTGGATCTCTATTCTATCCTTTGCCTTCCCGTGCGTTTCCGTTCCTACTCTCTCCAACCCGCGCCTTCCGTATCTCTCTCTCTCTCTCCCTCCCTTTCCGTCCATCTCCCTCTCTTTCTTCGAGAACTGTTCCTCTTCTTCCCACTCTCTCTCCCTCTACAATCCTGTCGCTCTCGATTTTCGCCCTCTTTCTCTCTTTCTCGCCCGCGACGACTCTCGGAGTCGTCCTCGTTCCGCTCGCATTCCAACGGTGGTCGGTTCCTCTCCTCTACGACTGCCTATTCCTTCCCGCGCGCTCTATGCCATGTTCCGACTGCCTAACACCGACCCTTCACGTACGAACGACCGAACGACCACCCCGTTCTCTCTTCACCGGCAGCGCACACGATCAACCACTTCCATCTTTCTCTCTCTCTCTCTCTCTCTCTCTCTCTCTCATTTCTCTCCGCGAAACCGCGCGCCGAGGGGGAAGGGGTGAGTGCACCCTTTGCCGAGGACTTTCCAGATCTCTCCCACCTCCACCCCCAACGTCCTACACCCCATCCTCCGTCCGCGTCCCGACCAGCCGTTCCTTTCAGAAATATTTCGAACGTCCGCGCGCATGTACATCCTTGCACCTGACTCCTTGGAGTTCTCCACGGTCGAGGAAGTGCGCCGGCCAATCCCGGGCACATGTTCGACACTTCCACTCGTGCCATTCTTCTCGGATCAGGCCGGGAGCGAGACGAGGGCGGGACGGGGGATCTCTTTATCATACTCGCGAGTAAGCGGAGCTGCTCGAAGAAAAGGGTGTTACTCCCTTTTTTCCTCTTTTGACCATTGGATTTCAGCGTGTGGGGCGACGCGACGGTAAAATCGAGAAAGAAATTTCCATCGGACGAAGCTAAGCACAGGTCATTTTTGCGGTTTATCGATGCAAAATGAAAGTCTCGATACTTCATTTAATGTCACGACTGTTACCTGTAATAATGAATGTTGGACTATTTCTAACACAAGTTAAAGTTATTTAAAAGAACTCCTATTAACACTTAACCACCGAGCGACAAACATGCAATTTCGGACGAATTCGCATTCTTAAATAATTACTCCATTATTCTTCAATATTGCACATTAGCTCGGGTAATCCCTATTTTGCTAGTTAATGTTTACTGTGTGCTCGTATTGTCAGTAAAAAAAAAGGTATTATTTGAAGCGAACTGTTATTTCAAAATAACAATTACAATCCCGATACGACCGCGGGAGAAATTTTCGTATCAGCGAAAATTGATTTAAGCTCGATATATTGAAATTTCAACACAACTAGATTAATTTGCGAGCCTGCTTATAAATTCCTTTCATTACGATGAAAACTGTAGTCCCCGGGGATTACTGCATATTTGCAGAATGAATTTTGGTACGATCGCGTAATTGCATCACCGCGCTATTTGCAAGACACTTTTCATAGCTCTCCCCGTTCGACAAATGGCGTCGGCGCGAGTGACATTTCCATTTCCATTGCGAGGCAACGCGCATAAATTCGATACGCGCAACGAGTTCTCCGTGCCACACACGGGGTTACGCCAATTTCCAGCCGTGGCGCCCGCATCACGCCGGCCACAATTAACCGGCAATTAATTGCGCGCATGTAGATCCCCTTACTTTGAGGTATCGCGCGTACCCCATAAGAGTGGAGCGTCTCGTACCAGCAGAAGTGTCGCGAAGTAGACGTCATTAGTCATAGTCATCGACGGAGTGCTATCTCACTTAGCGTCCTCCCTAAGTGCGTATCGCATATCCCGAGGGACCTAACGTATCTATTTATCTATATGCCTATATATTTTGCATGATTACATCGAGTGACGACACCAGCAGAAATTGAAATATCTCGCGACGTATCGCGCTTTAACTGAATAAATTATGTGTCGAGCTAACAAAGTTAGTTACGTTTTAAATATACGTCTGCTTTGCATATATTACGCGCTTTTAAAGTTACACTCTGGCGAAGATATATAATAAATATATTATAGGTTTAAAATATCAATGTATTCAAAATTTTCGTATCGTAAAAAGCTATTTATTTCTAACATGGAGTAACATTCGCTGGAAAAGCTTTATTTCGTTTACGTTTTTCGTGTTTTGAAAATAAACTGCTATCACTTTTTTTTTATAATAAATAGCTCGGATTAGTATTATTAACGAGGTATAAAATAACGCGCAACATGCACTCGTAACATTCTGTTTGTGGGTAATACATATTATATTGCAAATGTAAGATAACTAATTGTAAGATGATTGTTATCGATTCGACGACAGCCGTCTCTCTGTTATTTATGCCCCTCCTTCCTCCTTTAATATCAGCCTCTTTACGCACTCTAGGATACTATCCGTGTGTATCGGGAGGGTCTCCTTCCGAGCCCATCAAATTTCGCGCTGCCGCAAGCAAAAAAAGAAGCACGCAGAATTTAATTCTTGCCCCTTGGCTTGAACGTAGTCGCTCTTGAAAATTGGATTTTTTTAATGAAACCTCATTCGCCTGGAAGCAGCAGCTGAAGATTAAGTTTCCCGGTAGACAATATGAGATACTTGCCTTTAGCGGCTCTTAGAAACGTATCGCAATAAGGCCCCATACGCGAAAAACCCATTTATTTTGAAATTCATAAATTTCGAACACAAAATCAGTAACAGTGTTTTTGGAACAAATTCTATTTTTTCACATTTGCCGCATGCAGAATTTTACGACAATGCTCTAATTTCGTTAATAAAGCTCGTATCATACTTTTCGTGCTGCAAAAAAAACTGTTTAATTCTTTTTAGCCGAAAAAATTTTAATATAAATCGGCACTGTCGAATATATGTCAATGTGTCATCTCATGTATAGTATAGATTAAAGATATAATTTTTAAACACAGATGCCCCACACAAAGTAAATATATACGCAGCTATATATAAATACGCTGTTTTTAATTTCGACATTTGTTACAAATATATTAAATATCAAAAAAAGGGATATATACACGATTATGAATAGATATGCGATTTATCGAGATACAAAATTAACATTTCTAAATATTAGTTCACATATTTAAATTCTTATTATCAATTAACCAGATTGCAAATGTACCATTGGCTTGTAGACATTAAATATTTATGAATTTTCACAATTGCATTCTAATTCAAAGTCATTCTCCGAAGCTAGGATTCTAATATTTTAGATAAATAATTCAATTTCACCGAAGCAATCGCAAATTTTTATCTACAGTAGTTCTAGTTCATGTTAAAACAAGTTTCGTTCGATGTATCTAATTAATAATAACGTATGAAACGATTATACAGAGAATTTATGTTCTTTATAATCGCCACAATAGATCACTCATCTGTTGAGTCATCTGCGGTATTTTGAGATGACCTTGAGTCCTACGCACACAGCTGAAAATCACTCCTGATCGGTCGACCGTAAAACTTCTGCTTATAGCGATTCCCTACTTTCGCTTTTGCGACAGTACCGGATTACCGAGACCCTCTTGGACGCAGTAAAACCGGTAATAATCGTAATTTACATCTGTTCCATAACTCATGATTTATGGGACTTAAAATTTTCATAAGCCGCAAATAAGTATTGGCGCAAATACTTGGAGACCGACTGTCGCTCTCGCGTATGCTTTAAACTTGACAATGCAAAACGAACACGCATCTGCGGTAGACATGTGTTTTGAAAACCTGATCATTCTCCGCTTGAACCGCAACCATATTCATCGTCAACAACACCAATTACAATTAGTATTTTATATCCCGAAATATTTCTATTCTAATTAATAAAATAAAATAAAATATAAATGCGTTTGATATTATAACTTTAATATTTCAATGCGTCATTAAATATGGAAAATAAAACGTTTGTTATAAGTTTTAAAAATTGTGCATATTTATACATCAATAAAAAAGAAACATTTAAATTTGCGCCTTTTATTTGTCACTGTAAACAAGTTAATATTATTACAAAAATTATTTATCGATATTACCTTTAGAGATAAAATTTCATTTTATAATTTATAACGTAACATTTTATAGTCGCAAATAAAATCCGCATTTTGCTCGTCTGCATTAATTTACAAGTATCCTCCATGTAGCCTGCATAGATACGCATCGTGTCGTGAGCACTCTATCAATTCATTACGTTACATCCCGGAACAAACGAATTTCGCAAGTCCCGAGAGAGCTGTCATACTGCCATCGATCATATTTGCGCACTGCTAACCAACGCGTCGGGTTGCAAATAAAAAAAAAGTTGAGGACATTAACCACTCGCACACACTAATTATAATAGTTATAATCTCGCGTTTGGTAACTGAAACTTCGGAAGTGGCAGTATGTTCACGGTTCACGCACTTAAAGGGACACTTTATGTATACATTGTATTATACGCTTTCGATCATCATTCTGCACTGACCTTGCAACTGTCAGTCCTTTTTATTTTTTTTTTTCCTCCCTACCACGACGATACGAAGATACACGAGTTGCTCAGCAGGTAAAAATTACGACTTCAGTTTCGAAAGTTTAAGAGCCTAGTTGCGTCACGCAACTCGACGATTTTTCTTGAATTCCTGACGAAAGGTCAGCATGTTTTTAGCCTGCATTAGTGGAGGAAGTTTGAATGGAATGATTGTCACGGGACATGTAACTAAACCCTACTTTTCACAAAACGTCTATGACACGACATAATATCCTGCAGGGTTATTCTATACCGTACTTGACCAACGTCACATAAGTTATTTGTGTAATCAATTTTCTTTTCAGAATAGTTTTTAAATTACGAGTAACTGGAAAAGCTACTTCATGCTAATTAAATTTCAATAA